CTTTCATGATATTGGGGAAGTTTTCTGTCAGCAGTTCTTCAATGATCCTCTCTGTGTTTTCTGTTTTCTCCCCATTTTGGAACTCCGATCACTTGCAAATTTTTGCTTTTGATTGTATCCCACATAATTCTCAGGGTTTCTTCATTTTTCCTCATTTTTTTTCCGATTTTTCCTCAAACAGAGCTATATCCAAGTGTTTGTCTTTAATTTCACTGATCCTGTCTTGCATCTTTTCAAACCTGCTCCTCAGCCCTTCTATGATGCTGTCCATTTCTGAAATCTTGTTGTTTATCTTTTGGATTTCTAACTGTTGTTTTTGTATGGTTTCTAGTTGTGAATTTATTTTGGAATTTTGTTCCTGTATTATTTTCCTGAATTCTTCTATTTTTTTGTCTGTATTTTCCAAGAATTTGTCTGCCTTTTCCATGAATTTGTTTATTTTTTCCTCATTTTTGTCTGCTTTTTGCTTCAACTCTTGGAATTATCCTGATTAGTACAATGTAATTTCCTTTACAGACTTGGTTTTGATTTCTTTATACTGCATAAATGTGAATCTTACTTTTCAAAAATGTGTCCATGTCATCTTAGCTACCTCTATCTTATTTTCTTCTACTTTTTATCCATTGTCATAGTCTGTCTTCTCCTTTCTTGTATTAAATTTCCATCTATTCTCAGACAACTCTCAATTAACTGCATGGAAGGTCCATGTGGAAGATATTCTCTCAAATCTTTGTATATTAACCTCGTATCAGTTTCCCATTGCTGCCGTAACAAATTATCACAAATTTAGTGGCTTGAAACAATACAAATTTATTATCTTACAGTTCTGGAGGTCAGAAGCCTGACTGAAATGAGTCTTACAAGGCTAAAATCAAGGTATCAGCAGGGCTGGTTCCTTTTGGAGTCTCCAGAGGAGAATCTATTTTCTTGTCTTTTTTAGCTCCAGGAGTTATCCTCATTCCTTGACTTTTGGCCCTATGTCACATCGCCACAAGGTCCCCCTGATTCTGTCATCACATTGTTTTCCTCCTTTGAACTCTTGCTTCACTCCTATAAGGACCCTTGTAATTATATTTAGGGTCCACCCAGATTATCCAGGATAATCTCATGATCTCAAAATCCTTAATAACATCTGCAAAGTCCCATTTGCCATATAAGGAAAGATTCACAGGTTCCAGGGATTAGGACATGAACATCTTGGGCACCATTATTCAGCCTACTACAACCTATGTGATAGTTTTTTACTTGAGTATTTGTTTAATATTATTTATATTATATCCTTACTTTTTTGAACACCTCTAGCATTGGAGTGGGGAGCACTTTAAAAAGAAAACCACTTCATTACCTTCTAATCCACCCAAAGAAGATATTAACAAGAAAGATAATTATAGAAGGTAACTTGGTTTATAATTTTATTTTATGAAAGACTAAGAAATAGATATTATCAATCCCTAAATAAAGTGGGTAGGAAGGTAAACGAGGAGTGCTGGACAGAATTTAATCTCTTCCTGGAAAGTCTTTCAAGTGTGATTTTATTTTTTTGAGTGATACTATTTTCTAAAATTCTAGGCAAAGTCACAGTCAAATGTGATCACAAATACCCATACCAAAGACAAAGGCAAATTTTTCTTTCTTGATTTTCATTTGGTGTAACTGTGGTTTTGGCTATCCATTTTTGCATACAATTAGAAATTAATTCTGTATATTCCCTCCTCCCTAAGTCGTGAAACAGTCTCTTTTTCCTTTTAAAAATAATGTTTGCTCTGTAGCCCTTCAAAGGTATTTTTAAAGGTAACTTTTCTCATATCATCAGTTTTTGAGACAACTTATTAATATATTAAGTCTGAAAAAATATATTAAACTCAACACATAATATGATTTGTCTGTACTCTGAAGATAATCCTTTTCTTCTTTCTCTCTCTTTTTTTATATGTGTTTCTTTTGGATGTTTCTATCCACGTAACATATATTGCAAGCTACACTGGTGAAAATATGTAACACAGAGCTCAATGCTAAAGTAAACTATAATTTAACATCAATAAAAGTTAAATAATTAAACTGTTAATATCATGCAAATGTCATTTTTTATACAGCAGAGAATTTCAAGATACTAAGTCATGGAGTACTTAGACAATAGAAATGTGTCATGGATACTTACCCTCAACAACAAAATGAGTAACTATACCAATTGCAATTCCTATGATTGCTGCAATTGCCAATGTGAAGAGAGCTAGCCTTATAGGATCCCAAAATTGCTGTCTTCTTTGACACTCAACTCGAGGGTATTCAGGTTCTGAAAATTCAGCTGGTCTGTGGTAAGAGGAAGAAATAAACAATAGAACAATTAAAAATTCATTAACCTTCTACTCAGTGCCTATTTCCTGTGTTCCTCTAAGAAAAGAGTATGTACTGCTAAATGACAGTGGAATCCCTAGATATTGAAAAGAACATGAGGTTTTAATTTGCATCCCCTGTCTAACACCCTAACCACAATACAAGTTTAAGTTAAAGCTCTATTGATGTTGAAATTCAAATGAGAGTCTCTCCCCACTGTATCTTGTCCTTGGTTATGGACATTTTGGAAGTTGTGTGCTGAAATGCCAGAACTCAGTTAATAAAAAGTTAATTTGCAAATAACATTTTTCATGTCATTTAAATAAGGAAGTTCTTAGCAGCAAAGTTACATTATAGTCTCATGAGTTTTACTTGATTAAATAAAAGATTTTAATATGTCTACTTTTTAATGCCACCACAAGTCTGTCAGTTTGTCCTACTGTGGTGGTGGCTTATGTGTTGCTGTAATCCTGGAAGTTTGCCACCAGCAGCGTCACCCTTGGTGGACAGGCTTCAGTGGAGCTTCCAGACTAAGAGAGACTAGGAAGAAAGACCTGGCAGTATACTTCTGAAAAAATTGGCCAGTGAAAACCTTATGAGTGGCAGCAGAAAACTGTCTGATATAGTGCCAGAAGATAAGCCCCTCAGGTTGGAAGGCACTCTAAATACGACTGGGGAAGAGTTGCCTCCTCAAAGTAGAGTTGACCTTAATGACATGGATGGAATCAAGCTTTCGGGACCGTCATTTGCTGATGAGGCACCACTCAAAATGAGAAGAAATGGCTGCAAACATCCATTAATAACTGGAATGTGGAATGTATGAAATATGAATCTAGGAAAATTGGAAGTCGTCAAAAGTGAAGTGTAACGCATAGAGATTGATATTCTAGGTGTTAATGAGCTAAAATGGGCTAGTATTGGCTATTTTGAATCAGACATTCATATGGTCTACTATGCAGGGAATGACAAATTGAAGATGAATGGAGGCGCATTCATCATCAAAAAGAACATTTCGGGATCTATCCTAAAGTACAATGCTGTCAATGATGGGATAATATCCATATGCCTACAAGGAAGACCAGTAAATATGACTATTATTGAAATTTACGCACCAACCACTAAGGCCAAAGATAAAGAAATTGAAGATTTTTACTAACTTCTGCAATCTGAAATTGATCAAACATGCAATCCAGATGCATTGATAATTACTGGTGATTGAAATTCGAAAGTTGGAAACAAAGAAGAAGGATCAATTGTTGGAAAATATGGCCTTGATAATAGAACTGACACTGGAGATTGCATGAAAGAATTTTGCAAGACCAACGACTTCTTCATTGCAAATATCTTTTTTCAACAACGTAACAGCAACTATACACATGGACCTCACCAGATGGAGCACACAGGAATCAAATCAGCTACATCTGTGGAAAGAGATGATGGAAAGCTTGATCTCATCAGCCAGAACAAGGCCAGGGGCCGACTGCATAACAAACCATCAATTGCTCATATGCAGGTTCAAGTTAAAGCTGAAGAAAATTAGAACAAGCCCATGAGAGCCAAAGTATGACCTTGAGAGGATCCCACCTTAATTTAGAGACCATCTCAAGAATAGATTTGATGCACATGCTTAGTAAAGTAGAGGATCAGCAAAGGAGAAGAAGACCCTCAATGAGATGGATTGACACAGTGGCTGCAATAATGGGATCAAGCATAACAAGGATTGTGAGGATGGTGCAGGACCGGGCATTGTTTCCTTCTGTTTCACATAGAGTCGCAAAACTCTACAGCACCTAACAACAACAACAACTGTTTGTTTTACCTCGTTTTAATTTTCTTTTTTAATATTAAAGTAAAATAAAAATATAAATTGGGAAATGTATAAATGAATAATGAAGAAAAATACAACTCAAACTTATTTCTACGTTTAAACAACCTTTTTTAAGGTCAAATGGAAAATGTTGGTACATGCTCTAAACTGATAACTGCTTATGATGAAACTCAGATCACCTGGGTATAATCCTGGCTTTGCTACTGTCAGCAAGTTAGTTAGTTGCACTTTGGACTTCAGTCCTCTTATCTAGAAAATGAAGAACAAAAGCCTTTTATGACTTTGTTAGGATCCAAGATACTGTAAGTATGGTATCTGGTACAGAGTTAGAGAATAATCCTAATTTTTTCCTTCCTAGAGACAGCAAGCTTTATTTTGCTCTGCTTTTGATCTTGTCTTTGAATATACTTTTTCACATGACTTGACAGTTAATAGTAGATATTTCTGTATTGTGTCCAGAATTATCTGCAGTTCAGCACAGTTACTCATGCATACTATTTTCATTTATGATTTATCAAAATATGTAACTATGTTTCTAGATTTGTTACACAATGAATAATATGCTTCTGATTTCTAGAAGCATAAACACCAAGAATATAAATCCATTATTTCTTCAATGCCAAATGCGCCAACTAGTTTGCTGGTTCTAGTACCAATCACTAAGCAGAATTAAAATAAAAACTATGATGTTCAGTCTGAAGGTAACAAACCCAGACTATTTAAAATGAAACCCATGACTTTGTTCTAATAACATTCTGAGATACTACATTATCCTTTAATGCATCAGTGTGGATAGCAAATAAAAATGTCATTGTGACATCACATTAGTGTCATGATAGTATATAAAACAGCTACCATCTTTGGAAATCTGTATCATTTTTAAAATCCATTGAAAGAGACAAAATACAGGAACTAAACTGTTTTAAAAATATGAATAGAAATAAATTTGAATCCCTGTGGGTGGGGCAGTGTTTTGTTCTGTTGTACATAGGGTCGCTATGAGTTGGAACTGACTTGATAGCACCTAACAACAACAACGGTAATGAAGTACACATGGAAACAGTATTACGAAGAACATGAAATTTAACATCAAGAGACCTAGATTCAAACCTTTGTTTGGTCACAATTGACCCTGTTGTCTTGGACAGGTCTCTTGATGTCTCGAATTCTACGAATTCCTCATTTATTAAATTAGGCTCATGATATTACCTACCACTCAAGGTCATTGTGAGGATTAAAGAAAAAATTAGACATGCAGGCATTTCATAATATCTAAAGAACTATATTAATAGTACTTGTCAGAAACCATAAGCTTCTTTGAGAAATAAAATAGTTTATTATACTATTTTGTATCTAACCATAATACCTAACATAATTTCTCAATGAATGAACAAACGATGAATGAAAGAAATGAAGTCTAGATCCTAGACCCAGAAAAATTGCTTGCATACAAAGTCTGACAAATTCTAAAAAGTTAAGAGTTATTATTTATTATTCAACAATTATTTAATAAATACCCACATTTTAGGCACTGATGGTACTGGATATACAATGAATAAAATACAAATACATGGCCCTTGCCTTCGTGGTGCTTACAGTCTAGAAGGGGAGACAGATAAAACTAGTAAGCATACGAGAAGGCAGGAAGGGACAGGGGCTGGTAATGGGGAACCTAAGGTTAAGAAAGGGAGAGTGTTGACATGTCTTGGGGTTGGCAACCAATGTCACAAAACAATATGTGTATTAATTGTTTGATGAGAAGTTAGTTTGCTCTTTAAACCTTCATCTAAAGTACACACACACAAAAAAAGACTAAATAAATAAGTAAATAAAAATATTGTTCGGGTTGTGTGGGGGAAGAAAAACTAGTAAGCATAGAGATTCTTACAATTTATGATGAGAGCTATGAAGATGAGTAAGATGTCTGTGAGTGAAAATAAGAGGGTATAGACTGGGTAGGGAGAGAGGTACCACTTGGAAAGAGTGAATAAAGTAATATTTATGTAAAGAGATGAAATATGAGAAGAAACCTGCCATGTGTAGAATGACTGGAAGTCTGTTTCTGGCAGATAGAAAGTGTGTGAAGTACCTCTTTTGGAAAATAACTTGGCCTGTTGGATGAACTGGCCATTGAAAAAATGACCAGGGAGAAGCAGCTACAAATCCATGAACATTTCCTCACTTAAAATTTTGTTACTAAGAGAAATAGTTCAATTGCATTAGTAGAAAGAATGCCTTCTATGTTCCCTAGAGCCTGTTCCTGCTTACATTTTTCCTGAGTCTAATAAGCATATGCTGCTGTGTCATGCTTATGATTTAACTCAGCTAGAGAGACTAATTACATTATCAGTCAGACCAAAAAAAAAAAAAAAAAAACCGAAAAGTACATTACAAAAGCCCAGTCTCACACTCTTCTTTCTAGACAGTCTCACAAATATTCTGATCAAGAGACCAAATATAATACCCTCCCCACAAAAACGTCACCTGAGTTGATTAGCAATTAAATCTGAGAACTATATCCTCTTTTAGAGGCAGGCTCTGTGATGATAAGCATTATAATCATGCCTAAATAGACAGTTGAGAAAGCTTGCCTTCTCCCAATAACTAGTTGTAATGAGCTCTATGGTTAGTTATGTCAAAGATGGCTGTCAGTGGGACGCACGACAATGTTTATTAAGGAGGGACTAGAGCTAGTTCAGGTCCCTGGGTGGTGCAAACAGTTTGCTTTCAGCTGCTAACTGAAAGACTGGCTGTTGGAACCTACCCAGTGGCACTGTGGAAGTAAGGCCTGACAATTTACTTCTGTAAAGATTACAGCCAAGAAAACCCTGTGGAGCAGTTCTACCCTGTAACACATGAGGTCACCATGAGTTGCAATCAACTCAGTGGCAATGGGTTTGGTTTTTATGGTAGAGTTAATTTAGTCTTGAACTGTTTTGAGGCTATCTTTTTAAATATTGAAGCACTCAAAATAGAGTTCTTTTCCAGTTTCTTTTATGGACCTTTCTTAAAATGGAGCATCTTAGATCAAATTCATTGGGGTTCTAACTAGTGGTAAGTTCAAGTAGAAGTATGCAGAAGTAGGCCACCTTTGTTATTTATTTGCGCATCAGATGGCATGAGTGCCTATTATGTTCTCAGGCAGGCACAATGTGGAGATTGCTAATATAACTAAGACATGGCCCAGCCCATCATGACTCAACTTATGTATATTTTTGGAATTATTTATCTTCTATAGGAGAACCTATAGAATAAAGTTGTTGACAATCCAGTGAAATATGGATTTATTGTGATAGAAATCTATGGGGAAAGTCATAGTATTTTTGACCAGGATAAAAAATTATAAATTACAAATAACAACTATCAAGTATGTCAGATAGCTTGTGTTGCCCAGATTATTCTGGAATTCTCAAAGTTAATCCGTCTGAACCCTTTTAAAGAGTTAAACTGAAACATATGTAAGTATATATGGTTTAGGTGAATTGTTGTAGTCCTAAGAGGACAATCGTGTGATGTAAGACATATCCCCAGACTTGAGTCAAACTTTCTTAATCACCAAACATCATTGCCAGATATTCTCTGGATGACATTATTACAGATGGCATCAGTAAAAGGGTTAAGATCAAAATTCACATTTAGGCATTCTTTTTCCTACATGTCTTTTTCACTTGACATGGCATAAGCTTAATACTTACCATGAATTTGAGACACTTTGTAGCATCATGGTTAGGCACAGTATTCTATCTCCTTTTAACTTAATCTCTCCGTGCTTCAGTCTATTCATTTGTAAAACTGGGACTGAACCAGTTTGTTATGTTCATTAGTAAAATATATTGACATCACTTTCCATTTCTAGGCTTCATAATAGAGTTGGGGTGTGTGTGTATGTGTGATTTTCTAAGGTTATATCACCAGAAAACATTTATGCTATTATATAATAATTATTTATTGGTTTAGCATTGATTGTCTAATTCCCAGCTTCTCTGAGGTGACTGTAATCTGTTGCTTTCCAGGTCATATTACATTGTGCTACTAAAGTTATCAAATATGTCATTTTGAAAACACAGTTATCTCCAGTTTAAAAAAAAAAAAAAAGGTGTCCTTGAGTAGATTCTGACTCATGGTGACCCCATGTGTATCAGAATAGAACTGTGCTCCATAGGGTTTTCAATGGGTGATTTTTTTGGAAATAGATCACCAGGCCTTTCTTCTGAGGCACCTCTGGGTGAACTCAAACTTCCAACCTTTCAGCTAGCAGCGGAGTGTGTTAACCATTTGCATGACCCAGGGACTCCTTAAATGCCTTTATTTTTAAAAGCTATAATATTTCATTTGTTGATGCAGAGGCAAAGCTTTGTCTAAGCCTTGTAAACTCAGGTATTACCTACTTTCTCTGAACTCCAACTAGATTAGAAGTTTTTCTAGTACTTATTCTCTTCCACAGTCTTACCTAAGTGAATACTGAATTCATGGTAAAAGGCCCCCAACTACATATTAATAATATGCCAATTGGTTTATTCATGTAAGAGATGACAGATGTTTCTAGACAAAGCTCTGCTAGTAAACTTGGAGCATAATGTACAGCCACATGATGCATGATCTGGTCAGCAAAAGAATTGTTATGTGTCCTTTTGTTATACATAATTCAATTCTATTTCAGAGCAATTTATTGTGTGCCTAACACATGGCAAGCACTGGGGATATAAAAAAGTTAAAAAAGACACCGGCTGTGTATTCAAGAGGCTCACAGTATAAAAGAAAGACATAAAATAACAAAATGAATATAATGACATAGGATGTATAGATACTCCCTATAGGTACATGTATAGAGTATAATAGAAAACATGGAGGATTCAGTGGTAAACTCTGCTGGGGAAAGTGTCAGAAATGGGTATAGGAAAGACTTCTCAGGAGATGTGACAGCTGAGCTGACCCATAAAGAATAAACAGGGTTCTCCAGCTACATAACACTGGTTACATATATCCTGCCCTTTTTGCTTCTTGCTTCGAGTAGAACTTCTCATTATCCCGTGAAAGCGTTTTTCTAAATTTGTATTTGGAAGTCAAAGAGAACTCCACTGATTAATAGTATTTTTTCACTACCACTTGAAAAAAAAAAAAAGATTAAATTGTCAAAAGAAATTAAATTTCGTATTTTGGATAGAAAATGAGAATAGTGCAAGAGAAATTGAAAAACTTTTAATGGTATAAAAATCTAATTTACTTTAGCTCATAGTACTCTGATTTTCTTTGAGAAATCCCTTTTTATGGGAAGGCTTGGCAGTACTGCAAAGTATGAGTCAGAAAACACTGACAATGGTGGGTAGTGAAAGGGAGGAGCCAATTGTTGTGTCGTCTAAAATGATACAGTCATCTCTGCTCTGACCAGGATCACAACAGAGGGTTCTGGACAGAGCTGGAGAAGGATGTAGAGCATAATTCTAAGCCACAAAAAAAAGACCAGATTTACTGGCCTAAAGGAGACTGGAGAAACCTCGAGAGTATGGCCCCCAGCCACCCTTTTAGCTCAGTGGTGAGGCTACCTCCGAGGTTCACTGTTCAGCCTGGGAGTGGACAGCCCCGCAAAACCAAATGAGACTAACGAGGTACAGGAGTCCAGTGACAAGGGCCAGAAGGCAGAAGGGGACAAGGAAGCTGGTGATAGGGAACCCAAGTTTGAGTAAGGATATTGTTGATGTGTTGTGAGATTGTTAACCATTGTCATAGGGCAACATTTGTAGTAACTGTTAAATGAGAAACTCTTTTGTTCTGTAAGCCTTCATCTTAAGTGAAAATAACAGCACAATTGGAAGAGCGTAGTCAATGTCACTGAACTGTGCATGTAGAAATTTTTGAAACGGTGTATCTTTGGCTATGTGTATTTTCACCAAAAAAAAAAAGGTTGAGAAGTTAGAGGGTTAATATGTTGTGGGGTTGTTAACCAATGTCATAAAACAATATGTGTACTACTGTTTCATGAGAAACTATTTGTTCTGTAAGCCTTCACCTGAAGTACAATAAAATATTTAAAAAAATAAAAATAAAAAATAAAACAAAATGATACAGTCATCTAAGTTGTGATGACACTGGTATTTTCATGATGAAGCATTTTGGACTTGATAAGAGTTTCAAAGACAGGGAACAAATGTAATAGAATTCTGGCAAGAAATGTCCTTAGTTTTGTCCAAAAGGTCTTGAGAATATATCCTGTAAATGTCATGATGATAAGTGGCTTCAGAAGCATAAAGAACTAGCAAAGTGGTGGGAAACTGGGAGAATTTCAAGTATGAGTTAGTCCTCAAAATTAGCTTCCAATCAGCTAGAAATGACTGGTTCTGCAGGTGAAAGATAAAGAAGAGCAAAGTTACACAGTGTGGGCAGAAATTGCATAGTATCCTGCTCTTTTACTGGAATATGCAATAGCTCTTTCATGGGGGTAAATGCTAGTCCCACTAAATCCTATTTACATAGTGGAATATAACTTTAAAACATACAGAACATTTCAGGATATCAGTAATAAGAATTTCCTGAGTTTTAAAAAAACTCATAAAATTTTTTTTTACACCTATAAGGTCTAGATACAGCAAGAGATTTGTCCCCTTATAGGGGGTGAAGTCTTTGTCATTGACCTTCAAAATCAAAACAGCCATCTTGTAAACACTCAGAATCAACCTCCTCCCACAGGAAGGAGGATCATCAGCTCCAACTCTGACAGCAGCTACATTAACAACAATAATTTATAATTTAATTTAATTCTTAAAATATACTGTGAATATTTCTAGTTTGTCTGCATCCTTCAAGAATATACCGGGGTCTTCAAAATCTTTTATTTTCTGGATGACTAATATAAAAATTGCATTAGAATGGTCCCATTTTCCATCTCAAGAAGACTTTATGTTTACTATGACTGCCAAGCATCTATTAATAAGAACCCCTTTGATTTCATTCATTCATCCAACACTGCTGGAGATATAATCTCTCCTTGTGGAGATGACCTACTGATGGGGAAGACAGATAGTGGGCAATAAACAAATTTATACATAAATATAGGTCTCTGGATGGCAAAAAGTTTTGGCTATTTTAACTCACCCAGTAGGGCTGCGGAAAAAAGTCCTGGCTATCTGCTTCTGTAAAGATTATAGCCAAGAAAACCCTGTTCTACTCTATAACACATGGGCTCTTCATGAGTTGGAATAGACTTGATGGCAATGAGTATTTTTGTAGTACATTAAAAATATAAAGTGTCAGGTGAGAGGATAAATAGTAAACAGAGGGGTGGTGAGATATTAATTAGATAAGGTGGTCGGGGGAGATGTCTCTGCAAAGATGACATTTAAGCAGAGATCTGAACAAAGTGAAGGATGGAGCCATGCAGATATCTGAGGGGAAAGTGTTGCAAACAAAACAAACAGTAAGTACAATGGCCCTGAAGTGGGAACTGACTTGGTATGTTTGCAGAAGAGCAAGTAGGTTAGTGTGGCCAGTGTGGCAAGAGGAGAGGGAAGAAGTTGAGGTCAGAGAGGTAGTCAAACACCAGATCATAACCCAGCAGACCAAGGACTTCTGTATTTTATTCTGAGTAAGAAAGGAAGTCAGTATAGAGTTTTGATTGGTACAGTGGAATGATCCTTTTCAAAAGATCTAGCTGTGGAGAATATACTACAGTGGGATTGGGGAGACAGAGAGATGAAGGCAGGGAAACTGTTTAGGGGACCATAGCAATAGTTCAGGGAGAGGTGATGGTGGCTTGGACTAGGACGTTAGCAGCAAGGACATCAGAAATAATTGGACTCAGAATATATTTTGAAGGCAGAGCTGACAGATTTTGATGATGAATTGGCTGTGGCATGTGAGAATGAAGAAGAGCAAGGATGACTCCAAGGTTTTAGCCAAAGCAGGGTAAAGAATGATAATGCCAGTGGTTTGGAAACATTTTCAAGGCAGCTAGATTCTTTTTTCAAATTAATTCTTACATGGAACTCTAATACAGAATACAGATTTAAAACAGAGCTGCTCTGGGATAGGGAGTATGTAGGGAACACTACCAGTTCGATATCTCCCCACCTTGGAGACCACAGACCCTTCATTCTCAATAACTACTGCTGAATTTCACACTGAAGAACAAACTCCTTAGCATAACCCTGAAGATGCCCCAGGACAGAACTCTCAGCAGCCTGCTCTGTCATACAGCCCCCTTTCCTCATGTCTCTCACATTCTGCTCTCCACCCTTTATCTGCCAACGCACCCAAGGAGCACCCTTACATCTTTCAAATGTCACCTCTGTAAAGTAACACTGGTCACACTTGTATTTACCAAGCTTAAGGTAAATACAGTACACTCCTCTACTTGCTGGCATAAACATTAATATGTTAATCAGGTGTTCTCACAGTGGCGGCCCTCAGGGGAAATTCTTTTATGTTTTACATGTCAACATATTTTGTATTCAAACTAGAGCATAGATACACATTAGATATTCTGTTTGGACACAGTCCTCTCTTCTTCCTGCCCAAAAGCCTCCATTTATGGAAATGCCTGTGGTTAGTAATAAGTCTTAATGACATGGGTTAACTGGGGTTAATGACCTCCTTAAAATGCATATATGTAGTGATATACACGTTAATGGGGAGAAGCAGCAACAGAGAACAAATATAATCATTTAAAATGCAGTTTTGAATGCACAAAGGCACCTGTAGATTCAGACTCAGACTCTTCTTCCCCAGTGTTTAAAAAAACCACCAAACCCTTTGCCATTGAGTTGATTCCGACTCATAGCAACCCTTTAGACCCTATAGGACAGAGTAGAACTGCCCCATAAGGTTTCCAAGGAGCCTCTGGTGGATTCGAATTGCCAACATTTGGTTAGCAGCCATCTCTCAACCACTGCACCACCAGGGTTCCTCCCCAGTGTTCAGTCTCAGAAATGTGGCAGAGTGGAATTCCATTACCAAGAATAAGCTGTCTTTCATTATGGTGGTCTCTGGGCAATTAAAATATAAAATTAGTTTTAAGATATTTTAGTTGAGAGATAGATAGTATTTTGCATGGTAGTTAGAAGCACAAACTCTGGGGCCCAACTATTCTATTTTAAATCCCAACTCAGACACTTACTAGCTTTTCTCAGAAGCAAAATGTGTATAATAGCATCTACTTCATAAGTTTCTTGTGAAAATAAGATGAGACAATGTATGTAAAGTGTCGTAAGTCCTATACAGATTTTTACTATTATTATAATACTACTAAACTGGTTGATCTTTATAAAAACTCACTGAATTCCTAGGAATAATCAAATCCCAATATCTTTCCTCCTTACTCCAGTGGAATATTTGCTGCAATCTTACCTGACTTTCTCGCTTTGAAAAATAAAATGGCTCTAGAAGGAGTCTAAGGATGGACGTGGAGAGTAACAACTCTTCAACCATACTCTAAAGGAATAGTATTAGGTCCTCTCAAAATAACCAAGGTCATCATGAATTTTAATCCCATTTTTATTTTATGCCTTATTTAGGTTTAAACTCACCAGTTCAGAACTGTTCTATGTAAACTCTATTGTATTAAACGTGGTGCCGTAACATAACTAAATCTTAGAACTATAACCCCAGAACACAACTATTTTCCCTCACTTTACCTTGCTTGTCCACTCTACTCTTTTCAGTTGGGTTTATCACAATCTTCACTCATCTCAGTTTAATATTTTTGAAATGATTCCATCTCTTGCACTGAGTTGGCAAGTATATTCTCTTTACAAAAATTTTGTGACTACTCGTATGACAACTCAGACATTCTTGCCTGGTATATTAAGACACCACAAAACAGATTGCCCAATAATTGCAGAGAGCAGTAGGTTCTACTACTTGCTAGCTTTATGACCTCTTGATAACCTTCAGTTTCTTCATCTGAAAAATGGGAATGATGTCCTGAATTTTATGGACTGTAGTGAGGTTTAGAGATAATATTAATTGTACTGATCACAGTGCCTGGAAGATGGTAAACACTCAATGAAAGGAAAATATTATAATTACTATTTTTAATTAACTTGGAATTATAATTCATTTAATGGATCCCCCAAAGGCCATCTTGCGGGAGAATTCATATGATTTCCACTTTGGAGCATCTTTCTCTCTGCCAAACATGGTACTAGGCAGATGATACATCAGTACTTTGAAATGCCTATTTTAGAGGCTGGAGGAAACCTATCACTTTCTCAAATGAAGAACAGAAGTTTGTAATTAGACGCCTGTATTTTCAGTTATGAGGCTCCCTGGTGGCGCAGTGGTTAATCACTCGGCTGCTAACCAAAAAGTTGGCAGTTCAAACCCACCAGCTGCTCCGCTGGAGAAAGATGTGGCAGTCTGCTTCCATAAAGTTTACAGCCTTGGAAACCCTATGGGGCAGTTCTACTCTGTTCTAAGGAGTTGTTATAAGTTGGAATTGACTCGACAGCAATGGGTTATTTTGAATTATCTTGAGTATTAAAGGAGAGGAAGTTGCAAGAGAAAAGAAGCAGTGCCCAGGTTATGTTCACAGACTTTGAACAGAGTCAAATCTCTTTTCCCCCTAACATGATGGTGGATATGAGGACCTTCTTGAAAATCTAAACAGATCTTAGAAATGATAAAAAGAGAACGATCTTACCAAAAGAAATCTAAGCACTCAATACAAATAACATCCAATTATTATTTAATGTTATCTTGAGTTGAAAGTTGAGCATATTCATTGAAAACCTCTTTTGATTTGTGTTTCTTAACATTCTCAAACTTCAATTCACTGAATTATAAAAGAACTATTAATTACCAGTGGTCCTTGGGCAAAAATTCCCTTAAATCACACTCCTACATCTATTCATCCTCATGTAATTAGGTTAAGTTTGTCATGATAAATCTATCCCCCTTGCCAGTGGTTTTCACAAATGGGCATGCAATTCAATTCTGGCCAATGATATTCAAGGGGAAGTTAGTTGGAAGACTTCTGAAAAAGGCTTCCTTATTTCTAAAACAAGTCAAACTAAGAGATAGTTCCTTTTACTTTCTTCTGGACCTTTGTCTTCATGTAACAATTGAGACCACTGCAGCCATTTTGCAACTCTGAAAGGAGCCAATCTGAAGACAGATCTTACTCATTAGGGACCCCAGAGAGACAGAAAGAACCCGAGTCTTATATGACACATTTGAACTGCTTATCAAACACACCTGAGATCATAAACTCAATCGTAATTTTGGATTTACAGTTTTATTAAATAATAATTTTTCTTGTTCTTTAAACCAGTTGGAAGCTAGGTTTTCAGCTAACTGCAGTTGAAATCATCCAGAGTAATATATGTCACAGCCTCAAGTATCTGAATATGAAGTTTTTTTGAAACGTCAAAAAAGACCTTAATTCAAGATCTATTCAGTTCAAGTTTTGACAGTTCAGACAAAGAATTTTGTACATTCAAAACCATTTAAAAAGATAATAGTATAACTGAGACTGAAGAGAAAAACTTTCTGCATATACTTTATGCAAACTGGAAGCACACGATACATATGCTCGATATGCTGATTGCAAAATATTTCTAGCAATTCTTTGAAACCAAGTCTTTAGTTTTATGTATGTAAATAAATCCTGAAATTTATATATAAATTAAAAAAACCTTATTGAACATTTTTTGCAGGGTAGGAGTGCAATTGTTAACTAGACAGACTGATAGAGCCTACAGTATAGTGGGAAATACAGACGTTAAAAAAATTACTATGGACATATGTATATAATTACCATGATGAAAAACTCAAAGAGAGATAAATGTAAGGTATTCTTATATACACGTAATGGGAAAACCTTATCTAGATTAGGGATCAGGGAACATACCCCTGAGGACGTTTAAGCCAAGGCTTGAAGGATGAGCTAATCAGGTGACGGTTAGAGGGAGGAATAGTTCAGCATGTCTTAGGTGAGTAGAAGCTTAGCAAGTTCATATACTGAAATAAGACTAGTATGGAAGAAACATAGTGAGTGAGAAAGAGAACAACCTGTAGTCACTGCAGAGACATGTAAAATAATTTCCACTAAAATTTTTGTATATGACTGAAAAATCAGCTTAATAAATCTGTCTGATATTATAGCATATACAGTTCCTTAGAGAATAATAATATAAATATATACAGTATGTCACACTGCTCTGAACATTTTAAAAATTAGTAACTGTGAAAATGTTAGAAAAGCTCCGTAACAACTGGGATACTGGAGGTCATTTCCAGATAAACAGAAGTTAAGGGAATTTGTAAAAACCAGACTGAAATTATAAGAAATATTAAACGGAGTTCTCTGGTTAGAGAAACAACAACATCAGACAACAATCCGAGACTAGGAAACAGGACAGATCAACCAGTTATCAACTCAGATAAGGACTTGACAAAAACAAATCAAGGCTAAAAGACAGAAAATAGGGAGCCAGAGATGCCAATATATAAACAATGACGATGTCAGAATAAAAAAGAGGGAATAAACAGTGTAGTCATAGAACTTCCATATGGAGATGAAGTACTGGCAATGTCAAGAAATAAAAGACTGGTTTAAACTTAGAAAAATAAACATAAACATCAAGGTACCCACAAAGCAAGCTAACAAACCTATCCATCAAAATAAAGAAGAAGAAAAACATAAAGACTCAGCAAACACAAAATCAACGATAATGAAAGAGATGAAAAGAAAATACATAAAGAAAAAGAACTCAGCACAGAAAATTAAACGGAACAAAGAAACTGTCAGCATCTCTCACACACACATACACACACACATCACATACATACATAAATCAAAATGAAGCAGTAAAATTCATACCTATCAAGAGTTACAGTGAATGTAAACAGCCTAAATGCACTGGGAAAGGGATACTTTCTAGTGTATATTCTTTTCCAATGTACATGAAACATTCTCCAGAATAGACTACGTTTTAGGCCACAAAGCAAGCCTTACCAAAATCCAAAACATCGAAATAATACTCATCACCTTCTCTGATCACAGTGCCATAAAAGTAGAAATCAATAACAGAAACAGCAAGGAGAAAAAATCAAACACCTGGAAACTGAACAACACCTTGCTTAAAAACTACTGACTAATAAGAGAAATCAAGGATGGAATTAAAAAAAATTCATAGAATCAAATGAGAATGAAAACGTATCTTACCAAAACCTTTGGGACACCACGAAAGCAGTGCTTACAGGTCAGTTTATAGCAATAAACGCACACGTCAAAAAAGAATAAAGGGCCAAAATCAAAACATTAACCCTACAACTCGAACAAATAGAAAGAGAGTAGTAAAAGAAGCTCTCAGTCACCAGAAGAAAGGAAATAATAAAAATTAGAGCAGAAGTAAATGAAATAGAGACTAGAAAAACAATAGAAAGAATCAATAGGACTAAAAGTTGCTTCTTTGAAAAGATAAACAAAATCGACAAACCGTTGGCCAAATTGACAAAAGCAAAACAGGAGAGAAGGCAAATAACCCGAATAAGAAATGAGACGGGTGATATCACAACAGATCCAACTGAAATAAAAAAGATCATAACAGAATACTATGTGTCATGGATTGAATTGTGTCCCCCAAAAGTATGTGTCAACTTTGCTAGTCCATGATTCCCAGTATTGTGTGATTGTCCACCATTTTGTCATCTGATGTGATTTTCCTATGTGTTGTAAATCCTACCTGTATGTTGTTAAATGAGGTGGGATTAACAGCAGTTATGTTAATGATGCAGTACTCAATCTACAAGATTAGGTTGTGCCTTAAATCAATCTCTCTTGAGATATAAAAGAGAGAAGCAAGCAGAGAGACATGGGGACGTCATACCACAAAGAAGCAAGAGCCAGGAGAATAGCACATCCTTTGAACCTGGGGTATCTGTGCTGAGAAGCTCCTTGACTCAGGAAGATTGATGACAAGGACCTTCCCCCAGAGCCAACAGACAGAGAATGCCTTCCCCTGAAGCTGGCATCCTGAATTTAAACTTCTAGCCTACTTGACTGTGAGAGAAAAGATTTCTCTTTGTTAGAGCCATCCAATTGTGGTGTTTTGGTTACAGTGCACTAGATAGCTAAGACACTATGAAAAATTGTACTGCAACAAATTTGAAAATATAGAGGAAATGGACAAATTTCTAGAGACACACTAGCTACCTCAACTAACACAAATTGAGGTCAAGAAACTAAACAGACCCATAGCAAAAGAAATTGAAGAGGTAATAAAAAAAAAAACTCCCACCAAAAAAAAAGCCCTGGCCCAGATGGCTTCACTGGAAAATTCTACCAAACTTTCAGAGAAGAGCTGACACCAATACTACTCAAGCTATTTCAAAGCATAGAAAAGGAAGGAATACTCCCAAACTCATTCTATGAAGCCAGCATAACCCTGATACCAAAGCCAAGCAAAGACACCACAAACAAAGAA